TAGAAGGATTCGAAGCTGGAGCCATTCATGCGGCAGTCAGAAAGGGTGATCTTTTGATAGGTAGCAAGAAGTTGGAGAATGGAGTAGTTGGAGTGAAGATCGGTAGTAAAAATCGCACAGCAATGGCAGTGATAAGAGGCATCTTCAAATCAATTCTTGTGGATTCCTTGCTTAGATGCGATGACGTGTCATTGAATTTCGCTTTATTCGTTGACAGAAACCATCTTTCGACAATGAACCAATTGAAAACTTTTATCGGCCAACATTACTTATCATTACTCAAAAGTAATATGCCTGCATTACTTGGTTCATTATCTGCCTTCGGCAACCCTGTAGGTCTCATCAGAGGGTTTGGTGACGGTGTGAGGTAAGTATCATTAGCATACTATCTGACTTGTATTTTCAATAAAACATCTCTCACTCTAGTTTATTTTTCTGCGATAGTGATTTTGTAAGTGAACCGGTGAAAGGCTTCAAGAGAAGTGTACAGGAACTTGATGTAACTTATGCTGTAGATGGTATTGCTAGAGGAACAGGATCGTTGGCGAGACATACTGTTGGTGGCATTGTGGATTCCGCCTCCTTGTTGACAGAGACTTTCTCTAAGAACATGGCTGTTCTGACACTTGACCGAAAGTACGCCCAGAGGCGTGACCGCTTTAAGACTATGCCTGGTACAAACATCACATTTGTTGATGGTATAGAAAGCGGAATGGGCAAACTTATTCGAGGTGTTGCAGAAGGTGTAGTAGGAGTCGTTAGAGCTCCAATGCGTGGCGCTGAAAAGCGAGGTGTGGAAGGATTTGCAAAAGGTGTTGGTAAAGGGCTTTTGGGTCTTGTAGTAAAACCTGTTATTGGTATATCGGATGCAGCAACAGATGTCATGGCTGGGGTGAAGGGTTCCCTTGACGGTGTTGGGAATAAGACAAATAGTAGTTCAGGTCCTTCTCTCATCAGACCAAGAAGAGCTTTCTATGGTCAAGACAGAAGATTGAAGCCATATACATTCGTAGATGCTATTTCGGCAGCCATCATGCTCAAAACAAAGTTAGGCGGTGAAAACTACTTGAGTCACTGTGATATGGGAGGTCGGGTAGTTATTCTTAGTGTCAGAAGACTCTTACTTATTGGAGACGATGGAGATCCTCAACTACTTTTAAAATTGAAAAATATCAAGCGCATAGATTTGAGGCAGGTACCAAATGGAGAATCGGGAGTCGAATGGGGAGTTCTGATCTTTTTCAAGTCAGCAAGAGGGAATGGAAATGAGGTGGAGGTAATCACGAGTAGTGACAGGGACATTGCGAAGGACTTGTGCATGAACATTCAACATGGTATTTCCCAATTAGAGAGATAACATTAATAGTAAATAATATTTGTATATAAATAAGATCTAACTGTCACAAGGATTAGATATTTAGTATATTCCCTTAAATTTTTGAAAGCATCTAATGAAGGAAAGAAGGGATAGATCAAAGAGAAACTTAAGTTGAGAGAAAAATGTTCATCTGAATTGATCTGAAAGAAGAAAAATATAAATAGACAACAGCTTTCAACAAAAATAAGAGACAGAAAATAAGTATTTTTGCAAATGTGCGATAGTGACTGCTACGGATTGGATGTGGCACAACATACTTTCTCCATGATAACTTTGATGTATCAAAAATTTTTTGTAATGTCAATACTCAATGTAAATGTAGTTACCCCAACTTGCACAATATTGATACCTATCTTATTTTGATATTACAAGCCAGCTCTTTCAATTTGTTTGAAAGCTTCACCTTAAATTTGAGAAGTATTCTCATCAATTAACTATTTCGAACAGAGGTTTTCCTTTTGGTCTTAATTGAGGAACGTTAGAGGCATCATAATCCTGAGGCTTCGTATAGTCTCAATGCACTTCTACGAATTATTACATAGCTTTGATATTTTCATAAACGATGGGCTTATAAAAATCATAAACTTTCATTCCAAGAATCTTTCCTATAAGATGCAGTCGCTCGCGATGTTCTTACTTCACGTGAATCACCTCTAGGCAGTGTCCCTTTGTTTGTGAGCTCTGTAGTGTCTTGGAATTATTGCAATGGTCAGTATTTTCAACTCTTTTCTTTGATAAAAGATCTGTAATAATCAACTATGATCCCGTTTCACCTCGATTCTCATCATGGCGTATTGGTCTCCACTTGTGGTCTACTTCGACTCATATCATGGCATACACTGTTTACGATAAGTGTACAGTTATATTACCTCACCTAAGACTTCTGCTACTGTATCTCACATGATCTCTCTACGTACTACTCATCTTTGATATGCTTACAAAATAATCATTTAATCATTATTAAGGAGTTCAAGGATGAAGTCAGAGCAAAAGATTATTACTTTCTTGAACGAATTACTGCTGTTGTTGTTGAAGCTAGCTTGTAGGCCAGAGGAAGAGAAAAGTAAAATAATTACGGAGTTCGACAGTCAAGGATGCGGCCAGGAGTCTATAAGGATCCCAGAAAGGCGCATGGAATAGACTTTTAGATAGCTCAAGATACTGCTGAGATTCGTACATGTAAATGATATTTCGCCTTTTGCTCATTTTGAGGGTGGTGCAAGTACTACAACTTTATGAGGCTGGAGTACATACAACGGTAAGCATTCATGCATTAGGTTTGACAACCAGTGGAGAAATTGACCACTTTTCTGACGCGAACTCCAATACAAACCGAAGCTTCGCAAACTAACCAGAGAGCTGACTTCCAAGGAAAACAATGACCAAAGAAGCCAATTTGAAGGACTAAGGTTACTACAACATTCGTATTGTTGAGGTGTCTTAGAAATCTCTAAGATATTGCTAAAGGAATGAGGTGGACCTCTGGCTTACCCCCAACTAATATGGAATGGACTCATGAGGGAATTTCCAAGTTGTGAGGGAAATTCCAAGTTGTGGCTATGTAGAACGGAATTGACCATGAATTCAGAAGTGTTTTGATTTGCGATTGGGTGTGGGTATCTATGCTCGAACCATAGAAATGCAATGATCCTTGAACATATCTTGAAATACTCTCGCGAGAAAATTCATGTGGATTATATCCTTCAATATCTCATTGGCAGGCAGCTTGTATTACAAGAAGATGTCGACACCAATGGCCTTTTACTACATCCCTTGGAGTTAATAACCAAAAGGGAAGCTTAGTAGGTGTAGATTTACCAAGGAATAAATGAATCGCATATGCATTAACATATATCATGGAATTGGTAGGTAAATTTACTAAAGCAAGACTAAAACAAGACTCAGTCAAAACAAGAAGTGTCATCCCCAAAATGACCCGTCCATCCTCATTTGAAAAGAAATTTTCACAGCAGAGCTTTCGTGTAGTAACCAGCCGGATAGGTATTTTCAACAATTGCCTACAAGTTGAAAGCATCCTGCAGCATTGGTTAATAATATTGTACTGCTACTCGTAATCTCCGCATCTCTTTTCGTGAGGAATCTTCTTTGATTTATATAGATATCATGAAAGGCTTTGCGATCTTTTTCCTGCTACCAACACTTTCAGTTGCTGCAAAAAAAGCTTGGGGTGAATCCTGCTCTATAGATTCAGATTGCCTTTCTTCCTACAAATGTTTTGGAGGCAGGTGTTATTGGGGGGCTCAGTTTACTGGGACTTGCAGTAACAATCTTGATTGCTTTACTGGTTACTGCGGCCCAGACCCTGCCATTGCCAACCCCTCGAGTTTAATCTGTGGAGTGGCATGTCAAGTTGATTCTCAATGCGAACCTGGCGCACGGTGCTCACAGGGATATTGTCTCAGTGGAGGTACGTTAGTTATGATCATTACTATTTCTAATACTTATGCACCCTTTTTTGAATGAATATTAATGAGCTAAAAATGAAACAAATCATTTTTGTTCTACAGATATTGGCGACATGTGCTTTACGACCATCAGCGTCGGTGGTCCTTCATGCGATCCGGGATATGTGTGTGATGATACGTTGGAGTGGGGCAACGATGGCGGCGCAGTTGGAAATGGCGTAGGTAAATGTAAATGTCCTTTTCCAAAGTTTGCTTGTTTGCCAATAGAGGCGTACGAACCAGTAAAATTCAAATTTGATGTTGGAGGTGGAGGGGGTAAAGGAAATGTTGTAGACGAAGGCCCATCTAAAAGCTTGAATGGAAATGTTAATGAAAAGAAAGAATTCGAGTATGGAAAGAAGTTGAGGAAGAAGTAAAATTCAAAATGAAAGCATTTGGACGGTTTTTTGAATGCAGCATTGATGATATAATTATTTTAAATCATTTTTGTACCAATGTAAATACCGTAGTTGTATGGATCATTGTTTTCATTTATTTAATAATTGAACATGAATGAATATTATTAATATTCCTCATGTTGTTCCAATGACATCCTACTCACCCGACGTCGGCCATAAGCAAAAAGATATATAATCATCAGCTAAACAAATACCGTACATATATTGTATATATATTGTATATATATAAATTATATTATATTATATATAGGTATATAATAATTGTATAAGGTGTATGGTGTAATGTAAGGTAAATAGCATGTTGAAAAGCTGCAAAAAGCAAGAAGGTAGAGGTGTGTAACGGCCGTAACGGTTACATAAAGTCTCACAAATATCTTGTCAAAGCAACCTACGTATCTATCGAAATAGTCTACCTAAACATAACATGAAAGATACAAGACGTAGATACCTTTGGTAATCAATTGGTTAAGTACAGCAAAATTGCAAATTTAGCTAGAAAAATGTTGCATGAGAATCTAAAGTTATTATTACTACATATCTTCTCAGATATACAGAGGTAGCAACATGCGATAGAGGATGTTTTTTTTGTGTTAGTATTCCGGTAACTTGAAAAACTTACTAATTCACCAATATGTGCCACAACGTCAATATGTGCTTGTAATTTCTTCAACCTAGTTTGCTTTCATATTTTAGACATATGGTATTAGATTTATTAATACAGATTTAGTTTGTAGCATCGGTCCATTAGTGTAGTTGGTTATCACTTCAGGTTCTGATTCTGACAACCTGGGTTCGAATCCCAGATGGACCTGTCCTTTTGTGGCTTTTGTTGCCCTTCATCCTCCATTTGTTGCTTTTGATGCCATTCATCGATGGTGCAAAGAATGAAGGGCATAGAGCTCATACTCGTTGAGATATAATACTTTTAAAATTTTGACCTATTCAGCGGGTTCAATCCCCGCTCATTTCCTACCTTTCTTTGTCCTCTTCAAGTAGCATTGCATGATGTTGCATCAACGCTTCATTAACCTACAGATAGGTATTGATTATGGTTAGTGTATAGTAATAGATAGGCATGGAATGCCATTAGTAAATGGTAATATATACCATGGCTAGGGATGTAGCTACAATAGTTGGATGTTTCAATGCCGTGTGAGGAAAAATATAACCGTCACATCGAATATAACCGTTATTGAAGGTTTGTTTCGTATTCTAATCCTCTCTATTCTCATGTTTACTTTTTACACATGTTGAAATGTGAAATGAAATTTAATTACTTAATATTTATCAATTCAATCAAAGCAAAGAACTAACTATAATACATTGAATATCAGGGATGTAATGGTATGACTACTACGTACATTCTAGAAAATGCTTTCAGAGCACCTGCTCTTTTTTGCAGAGGAGACGACTTGCCTTTGTTGTTCTACTTCCTATTCATTTGTGGTGAAAATAGTGAGATCAAACAACCTGATTCATGATACATGATGTATGATATATCATGATGTTTTTACTTTCTTTGACATTTTAAATCTTCCAATGCACTCTTCTTCCACGATGTTAATGTTTGGAAATAAGCTACGTAGGTTGAAGATTATGAATAGATACAGACTATGTACTCATCTCATAATAAGATTCAACTCTACATATACCTTATCAGTTATAGTAAAAACTTGCAACAATTCCATTGTAGATTATAATGACTACCCTACCCGTAAAAGAAGAAACATTCTTCAACAACCCGACGCTAAATAAAAGCTTAAGCCGTGCCATAATTGATTGGAACCAAATCAACATCATCATCATCTTCATGAAAATATGCTTCTGGAAGTGGAATAACATATCTACTAGGAACTCTTCTGTGTGGTGTGTTTCCTTCAGAATCTTCATCATCTTCAAATTTGAGAATCAAATCTTTTACAATCGGCTTGGTGGTGCCCTTTGGTAGCTTCCAAACAGGTTCTTTGCTCACAATAGCTCTATAAAACGATGTAGTCTCAGGAAAGATAGCCATAACCTTTGTGTTCTTGGAAAAGCAACCCTCAGTTCCTTTACTCAGTCTCATAACATGCGTCCACGGTAATCTGATGAGTTTTGATGTATCATCTTCATCCTGTACATCATATGTCTCACTCTCTGCATAGAACCTCTGAACTGAAGCAAGAATCCAAGATCCATTCTCGTTTGTACGTGTAATTTTTGCAGCAACCTGATCTCCCGGTCTGGCAGCATTTTTGCTTCTTTTTCTTCGTCTAGCAAGTGGTCCTGGCGCATGACCATCAAAGAAAGAAGTCGATCTGGCATAGTCAGCACTAGCAACTGCGTATCTATCGTATTCATGACTTTCACTCCCTGCAGCAAGTCCTGCAGTAGCGTTTCCAACAGAAGCTCCAGAGATTCGTTGAGTTGTGTTGGGAAGAAGAGGACCTAATTCTTGTCCAGCCGATAGACGTGCCAAGAAACCATTTACGACAGTCTCCTCATTTACTTCCATTGCTTCAAAGTGGCGTGCAACAGCCACTGCGATCTCGGAATGTGGTGCTTCATTGCGAACAGGAACCGAGTGATGGTCAATATAAGACATGAGAGTTAACGGAGGTAGCTTTTTGAAGTCAAGTCCTACTCCTCTAGGATATGATCTGGAATGACCAGATTTAGAGGATCCTCCACGGCCACGCTTTTGATACTGCATTTTTGTGTCTAAACCTGAAGATGAGAAATTCTATAATCAGTGAATTTGAAGATAGCTCAAGCACTTGGATAGTTCTTGGATGTGTTGAAATTCAATTACTACGCGTAGATATGAGTGTTGAGTGTTGATTTAGTAGTGTTGTTTAGAAGTTTGAAGCAAGAAGAAGCGCGTGGCGCACTACGTAGCTGCTATCCTTATCTAATTATTTTTGGCTATGCAAAAATGACTAATTTAGACGGACGACTTCATTCTTAAAATTTCCATATGAAAATTTCCGTGCTTTTCAACAAAGTCTTCAGTACAATTGAAATTCCCAAAATTACAATTAGGATTATAAAATCTTTATATTGGCTTCATATTCTGAATAGTTGAAATCTGTGGTAGTGCGGTTTAAATCATTCTTTTCCCCCTTTATTTCGCCTTCCTCATGATTGACTAAAATTGTTCTATTTTTGTCGAAGGTGCGCAAGGTGCACTTCATTCAATTTATGTACGTACTCGTTGGTATGAGATCAGTGCTGTCTCATTCATGAAGTAGGCTAATGTCACTTTTTTTGAGCGCTTAGTTAAAAGTACTGTAATAGCACTTAGCAGTGGCAACTAGTAACATCAACAATTACTAGGCTTCTCTTCACGAGATTCGTTAATCTACTTAATCATAGCACCTGGCAAACTTTAAACAAATATCTAATCAGGTTTTACAAGCACAAGACACAAAAAGAGGGTACGCAGATATGAAATTTTCGAAAGCTTGCTCACTGTTGCTTTTTGCAGCAGTTGCCATCAATACTTCTTCAGCTCAAAACGATGATGACGATGATGAAGGCATGGTGCTGGTAGGAAATACAATCACCAGAACAGACGTCTCTGATATCGCAGATATGGCACTAGATATAAGAGATATGAGAGCCATGTGTGATGTGGGAGACATCGATGGAGCTCTTGCAGTTTTTCGTGATGGAGAAAATTCCGAGTTTTCTTTGAAACAGCTAGTTTACAGTGAGCGATACACAAATGCAGATTTTACCTTTGCATTTCAAATGTATGGTTTGTCAGGTGCAAAACCAGCTGATCATGACCAATTTACAACCTTTTCTGCAGATTACGTGGAAAAGTTGTTTGAAGATGGGAAATGTAAGACGGCAGTTGCAGCAGCACAGAACATTGCCCTTTGGATGCACATTGCCTCCGTAACCTGGAACATTTTGCATTCGTGTACAATCCGTGCTGATCCACAGTTTGATAATGATGCTGCTGGCGTTGGGAACCTTCCAAATCTAGCAGATATTATTGTGGCATATTGGATCGGATCGCTCCAAGAGGACTCTGAGGGAGTTGATGGATTCTCTTTGTACTCTCAAGCCAATAAAATTGGAGAGAAATTCGGCACCAATATTATCGGGGGTGCAAGAGCAAACAGAAACATCTTGGATTCTTATGAACAGATAAGTGCCATTCTATCTCAAGAACAGGCTTGTGACGATGGGTACGAAATGAGAAGAACTAATGAAGACCTATGGACACCAATTGTCGAACTTACAAGACAGATGATGATACCTCAGATGCAAGGTCTAATCTATGCAATGCTTGAAGAAGACATGGATGATATTGGCGTATATTCTCAAATTGTAGTTCCTCAATTATCACAGTGTCGATATTCTTCTTACAAGTACCTCAAGGACACGTTCCTTGATAATGAATATGATACATCAAAGTTCCATAATACTCTCAAGGTCCTGCAGTCCACTTATGCATGCCTTGGTCTTTCATGCAGTGACATTGGAATAGCTCATGAGTACGGTGATAGAGTTTTGGGATGTCATGACTACTCTGAGGAGCCTATTTTGGCAGGTTACCCTGCTGGTAGTGATGTGACAGAAATTGCAAAGATTGACTTGGATATGCATCAAATCAACGTTTTGGTAAGTAAAGTACATGACTGACTAGAATAGTAGAAGAAACAATAGATATGCAGCAATTCACTCACATTTCATTTCATTAGACTTCCTATGAAAATGAAAATTACTGGACAATGGCAAAATTCATCTACAAACTTGGAAAGAATTCCGCCATTGACAACTATTACGACGACGATGACGCAAGTGATGGAGGTTATCTTTCCTTGCACGCAATGGCTATCGACAGCGAGAGAAAAATTGCACCTTTTTACGATTCATACATTGCTTACTTTGATGATCCTCATTACGCTGACGATTCCATCATGGAAACCTTTGAAAATGAGGGAAGGTGGAAAAATAAATCGATGGCACAGCGTGCAATGGCTATCCGTGTAACAATGCAAGCCCAGATCATTTACATGTATGTCTTGTATAAGTTACAAAAAGCTGCAGACAATTGTGGCCAAGATGATTCTGTTAGGATGGATGCTCTTGACGACGGCGATAATGTTATCGACGAATGGGATGAAGCTGCTGCTTTGATCATTGGGTCCTTAGAGGGTGAAGGCATCGGAGGATCTTCTAATTTCAAGGATGGAAGTTCGTTGTGGAGTCTTGCTAATAATCGCGCAGTCGAATTCAGTCGAGAAAATGAAGCTGGTTATGCAATTTCGAATGCTGCAATTTTCAATCTTTTGCTTGCAGGCAAGGCAAAAATTATCTCCAATAGTTGCTCTAATTTGGAGCGATTTTCCTATGGCATTGCACACATGTTATTCATTCCTCTGTTTCAAAGCATGGTCAAGTATGCTATTGTAAACCATATGGAAACTGCCGATTCCGATGATCCAGACATTGTTGCTGGGGAGATATTTGCCAAATCTGTGATCCCTGTGCTTCAATACTACGACTACCAGAGTGCGAAGACCGTGAGTGATAATCTGGTGCCTGTAGAGGAATTTGTACAACTTGTGCAAGAGGGTCCTCAGAAGGTTGCAGATTCCTACCTCGCCATTGCAGACGATTTCAACATTGAATGCGAATATATCGGCAAGAGCTTTGAAGTCGACGCTTGTGCGAACTATCGCTTACAATACAAAACCAGCAGCAGTGTTGCAAGCAGTGTGTCTCTTGCTGCAACAGCTGTCTGTTTACTTGCTGTATCCTTGTTGATTTAATCGAAATATCTTTTTGTTACATACTACCTATATAAGAATAGTT